TATAATACATCCGTTAGATTTTCCATCCATTAATCCGTTAAATGCTGACGTGGCTGCCAAATGTGTGCCACGTGGTGGCCAAATGTGTGCCACGTGGCCAACAAAATAATTTTTATTTTTTTTGAAAACCTGAATCTTAAAAAAAATTTGCTGTTTTTTTTTGCCACGTGGCACACATTTGGCAGCCACGTCAGCATTTAACAGATTAATGGATAGAAAATCTAACGGATGTATTATATTGAAATAAAGTAGTACTTGAGGTATGAAAGTGAAATGTTTTAAAGATGTTGTATGGGGTTGTAATAAACATCAAACCTGAGGGGTTACTATGTAATTTACCCAAAGCAAAAAAAACACTGAATTGAGTTCTCTCCGAGAAGGTTGCCCCGCATTTTCTATAAATAGCACAAGGTCAAGTTAGCTTTCACTACACAAAGACTAAAGACTTCAAAACTGATGAGCTCTTTCCAAGTTTTTGGCAAATACGAAAGAGAGATGATGAGTTCAGTAGAACAAGCAACCAAAAAAGGGCATGCAGTTTTTGTCCCATACCCAGCACAAGGCCATGTTAACCCCATGATGCAGCTAGCCAAGCTTCTTCACTCAAGGGGCTTCCACATAACCTTTGTCAACACCGAGTTCAACCACAACCGTTTAATCCGGTCAAACGGTCCCGACTCCGTTAAGGGTCTACCGGACTTTGTGTTCGAGACCATACCGGACGGGTTGCCTCCTTCGGATAAGGATGGGACCCAAGATATTCCAGCTTTATGTGACTCCATTAAGAAGACTTGTTTTGGTCCATTTAAAGAGCTGGTGGCTAAGATCAATTCCTCATCTCAAGTGCCACAAGTTACTTGCATAGTTGCAGATGGTATCATGACCTTTGGGTGCAAAGCTGCTAGAGAATTAGGCATTCCGGAGGTTGTGTTATGGACTGCCTCTGCTTGTGGTTTCATGGGGTACTTGCAATACAACGAACTCGTCAAACGTGGCATCATTCCGTTCAAAGGTACTTCTTTAATTTCTGGATGATTTTGTTTTTTACGCTTTGGTCGCATATATAATTAATCCGTTTCTTTATTATGTATATGAACATTTTTGTATGCATAAATTATCATGACACGCTTGAATTAAATCATGCACTTCCCTTCCAAGTATATATTCCTTTGTTTACATAAATTATCATGACATATTTGACCCTTTAGTCTTTCTATTGTTCCCCTCCTACCCTCTCAGCACTCCAGCACTCCAGCACTCCAGCATGTTCAAATGATAAGATAACCCAGTTTGGACTCTTTTGTCTTTCCTGTGTCATTGGATCCAGTCCAACATCACATAAAAGTATATTTTGTTCCACTACTAGCGTTTGTAATTAAAGATGTGAAAGAGAAAGAAATTTGCATTTTGATATTTTGGATGTGTTAAATGGAATTAGACTTTTCTATTAATTTTTTTTATTTAGAAAAAATTTCTTCTATGTTATTGGGGAAGATTAATCTATTTGTAGTGATCACTTGGTTTTAATAAAATCAGTCTCCATTTTGTAAGAGTTGGTCTTGACTCTTGACCGAGTTGAAATAAATGTTGAATAAATTATCAAGGGATTTTGCACCATGCACCTGTAAAAATATGAGATCTCATTTTTTTTTTTATCAACTGCAAAATAAAGTAGATATTTGAGACCTTGAAATTTACTCTTATAACCATGAACATGATTAAATATCATCACACGTGCTTCACCTTCTGTGGATTTCAGATGAGAATTTCATGCATGATGGCACACTCGATACACCAATTGATTGGATCCCAGGCATGAAAAATGTTCGACTCAAGGACATCCCAAGTTTCATTAGAGTTACTGATCTCAGAGACATAATGTTTAATTACTTGGGATCCGAAGCACGAAACTGTTTGAACTCTTTTGCAATCCTCTTCAACACATTTGACGAATTTGAACACGAAGTGTTAGAGGTAATATCGATAATGTTTCCCAACATTTACACCATTGGCCCCTTTAATTTGTTGGGCAGACATTTCCCCGAAAGCAAGTCACTTAACTCAAGCTTATGGAAAGAAGACATAAAATGTTCGGAATGGCTTGATAAAAAGAAACCCAATTCAGTTGTGTATGTAAATTATGGCAGCATAACGATGATGACAGACCAACATTTGATCGAGTTTGCATGGGGGCTGGCAAATAGCAAGCAACCATTTTTATGGATAGTTAGGGCTGACGTGGTAAAGGGTGACTCACCAATTTTACCTGATGAATTTTTTGAGGAGATTAAGGATAGGGGTTATATTGCAGGTTGGTGTGCACAGGACCAAGTGTTAGCTCATCCATCTGTTGGGGTTTTCCTAACACACAGTGGTTGGAATTCTACCATTGAAAGTATATCTCACGGTGTGCCTGTAATTTGCTGGCCTTTCTTTGCGGAGCAACAAACTAATTGTCGGTACTCATGCACAACGTGGGAGATTGGAATGGAGGTGAGCCCCGACGTGAAGCGCGACGAAATAGAAGCACTTGTTAAGGAAATGATGGAAGGAAAAGGAGGGATAAAGATGAGGGAAAAGGCAAAGGAATGGAAGAAAAAAGCTGTTGAAGCTACTGATGTTGGAGGATCATCGTACAATAATTTTGAGAGATTGTTTAAGGAGGTACTCCAACTTGGTGAATGAATTGCTACAGAATGAGGAACACGTTTGGTGCCTTTTCATGAACTATCAAATATGCTTTTATTGACCAGGGATTTATCTTATTTTCATATTTAGTGTTGCCTTTTATTGCTTATGTTTGCTTATTGACCACAGAATGACATTCTATGAGCTTATGTTGCACAAGTATTACGTTGAACATTATTATTTATATAAAACTGATGCTGCACACTGATGATACACAAGTAGCACTGAAAATTATTAAATGTTTATGTGGGGGGTCCCCCCAACCTCCCCCACCACCTTCAAAAACTTATGTCAACTGATTCTGCACGATTCTATGAACTGATGCTGCATAAATATTAATAAACTTCACCAAATACTAAACTAACTCATAATACATTCCAATTCTAACAAATATATATGATAACTATATTGCAAAAACACAAAAGGAACTTCAATGAAAAACAAAGTAGCACAACTAAAAATCACCTTTGCCATACACTCGATCAAATATGGTCAAACCGAATCAAAATCTTTAAAACTAAAAAACCGTGACTGCAAAAAACAAGAACAGTCCAAAAAAACTCAATGCGACCAATAAAAAATGAAAAATCAGACACTCTTTCAAAATCTAAACAGAAATAAATTAAAAAACACACAGCACACAACACTTCGAAAATCTAAATCGAAACATATAAAATTCAGAGAGATAAACTTGAGAGAAACATTTACCTTCGAAGAAAACTTGAATGATTCCAATACAAATTATGGCGAGAGATAATTGAGGGACATGACAAAATATAAATCGGAACAGATAAACTTCAGAGAGAAAGAAAAACAGCAGAGAAATGAAAATGTAATTTGAATGATTCGAATCACCGTCAATCGCTATTTAACAAAATATGTAACTCAGTTTCTAACGGAAAAACCTGACATGACGTCATCTTATGCAGGTTTAAAAAATGTCCTTTCTTAAAATGTTTAAAAAGTGTTGTCTCAATATATAATTAAGTATTGAAAGTATACTCTAAGTGTAATTTTTCCTAAAAAGATAATGCATAAATTGGACTAAGTAATTAGATATTAGCCTAATAAATAATTTATAAGTAAAAATATTACTGGCAATGTAAAAATTAAAATACTTTGATCAATATTTTGTTATACGATACACATAATAGTAATATACCCTAAAAGACTTATCACCCTTATTCTCACTACAGAATAGAAACAAAGTAGGTAATAGTTGCAAAATAAATATATAAAGGGTAAATTACACAGTAACCCTGCAGGTTTGAGGTCTTGCACAAACCCATACAACATCTTTAAAACATTTCACTTTCATACCTCACATACCATTTTATTTCAAAATAATACCTCCGTTACGTTTTTCATCCATTAATCCGTTAAGTGCTGACGTGGCTGCCAAATGTGTGCCACATGACAAAAAAAAAAAAATTTAAAAAAACTTAAATCTTCTAAATAAATATTAAAAAAGAAAAACTGAAACCTTCCCTCATCCTCCTTTCTTCTCCCCACAACCCCAAAACCCATATCCCCCCATCTTCATCTTCTTCCCTGCAACCCAGAAAGAAAAAAAAAAAAAAAAAAAAAACCCCTTCAGTTCGTCTTTCCCCCACTCCTCCTCTCTTCTCCCCCATCTTCATCTTCTTCCCCCTGCAACCCAAAAAAGAAAGGGAAGGGAAAAAAAAAACCCATATCACTTCTACGCCACCATCACCGAGTTCGTGAGGTGGAATCGGGTGCGAGGGTGGGTGCGGGGGGAAGACGAACTAGGTTGTTTTTTTTTTTTTTTAACGGGTTGCAGGAAGGGGTTTCGGGGGAAGAATATGAACATGGAGGAAGGAGAAGGGGAAGGAGAAGGGGGAGAGAGGGTGAGTGCGGGTGCGGGGAAAAGACGAACTGTTTGCAAGAATGGGGATCTGGGGAGGAAGGGTCGCGAGTTGGGTTGTGTTCTGGATGTCTGGTTTTGGGGTGGGGGGTGTTGGGGGTTATCATTGATAGGCTTCTGGTTTGGGGGGGACGCGGGTGGGGTGGGGGGGGGGGTACGGGGGTGGTTTATTTCAGTTATATATATTTATTTATTTATAAGATTTAGTTTTTAAAAAAAATTAAATTTTTTTTTTGCCAAGTGGTACCCATTTGGCAGGCATGTCAGCACTTAACAGATTAATGGATGAAAAATGTAACAGAGATGTTATTTTAAAATAAAATGGTATGTGAGGTATGAAAGTAAAATGTTTTAAGATGTTGTATGAGTTTGTGCAAGACCTCAAACCTGAGATGTTACTGTGTAATTTACCTATATATAAATGTTTTCCCACAATCTTCATCCACCTAACTCAGCTTCTTTATCGTCATTAACCCTTGTGAGTATGAACCTTATCATGACCACCGCGACACCGATAAATCTTTGAGCAACCGCAGTTATAGGGGTTCGCGGGTTGAGTTGGACTTTTGACGTCACCGTTACAACAGGATGTGGCCCTCCTGGTCTTTTGCATGTGTCGAGGATTCCGGGGTGAATGCGGTTCCTTTCAGCGTTGACTTTGGAGTTTAGCACTACCATGCCGACGAGGAGCAAACAGAGGACGAATAACTTCATGTTTAAAATGGCCCATGAGTATTGTTCTTAATGCATGACTAATAGTTTGTACTAGAAACTTCAACCCGGACGCTGCTGGATTGAAAATTGTATGGAAAATTATGTTTGAAAGATATGAAAGATTGTGTCATAAAAAATTAATATATTTATTAAATTGTGAAGAAGCTTTCCAACCCATCTGATATTCAAATTGAAAATTTGAGTGATAAGAGAACAATTCATCAGTTGTGCAATGGAAAACATAGCATTGGAACACATCCAACAGAGGAAAAAAAAAATTACAACAAACCTTCATTAACTATGGATGGAATACGAACAACAAAAATATTCTTTGTTTTGAAATCATTGCCAAAGATTTTCAAACTCACGATCATTAAGTAAGGGATCAGCTGGAAGTGAAAGGAGCAGTCATCATTCATTCTTAGTCTCATAAGATGTGCCCAGCTGCAGTAGGTGTCCCTGAAGTAGCACATAATTATGTAAGCAAAAAAGAAACAACGACAACAACAACAACAACAAAGCCTTTTCCCACTAAGTGGGGTCGGCTATATGAATCCTAGAACGTCATTGCGCTCGGTTTTGTGTCATGTCCTCCGTTAGATCCAAGTACTCAAGTCTTTTCTTAGGGTCTTTTCCAAAGTTTTCCTAGGTCTTCCTCTACCCCTTCGGCCCTGAACCTCTGTCCCGTAGTCACATTTTCGAACCGGAGCGTCAGTAGGCCTTATTTGCACATGTCCAAACCACCGGAACCGATTTTCTCTCATATTTCCTTCAATTTTGGCTACTCTTACTTTACCTCGGATATCCTCATTCCCAATCTTATCCTTTCTCGTGTGCCCACACATCCCACGAAGCATCCTCATCTCCGCTACACCCATTTTTGTGTACGTGTTGATGCTTCACCGCCCAACATTCTGTGCCATACAACATCGCTGGCCTTATTGCCGTCCTATAAAATTTTCCCTTGAGCTTCAGTGGCCTACGACGGTCACACAACACGCCGGATGCACTCTTACACTTCATCCATCCAGCTTGTATTCTATGGTTGAGATCTCCATCTAATTCTCCGTTCTCTTGCAAGATAGATCCTAGGTAGCGAAAACGGTCACTTTTTGTGATCTTCGCTAGATTGCTCCGGTCATTAGTGTGGATAAGTATATAAATGGATAGAGATAGGAAAGCAAACACAAGATGTACGTGGTTCACCCAGATTGGCTACGTCCACGGAATAGAGGAGTTCTCATTAATTGTGAAGGGTTTACACAAGTACATAGGTTCAAGCTCTCCTTTAGTGAGTACAAGTGAATGATTTAGTACAAATGACATTTAGGAAATATTGTGGGAGAATGATCTCGTAATCACGAAACTTCTAAGTACCGGAGTGTGGTATCGTCTTGACTTGCCTTATCTGTCTCATAGGTAGATGTGGCATCTTCTCTGGAAGTACTCTTCCTCCATCCAGGGGTGGTATCTTTAACTGGTGGAGATGCACAAGGTAATGTATCAATTTCACTTGAAGCTTACTTGTAGTTTCAGGCTTGGTCAAGCGCGATACAAACCATGTAGTAGGAGTCCCCCAAGTCGCCGAGCTAGGGGGATCTGCTGAAAGAGGTGACAGACAAGGTAAGCAATCAGAGCTCCGGCTGATTGTTCACCATTCTCCCTATCTTGCAGGCAGCATGAAGGATAAAGAGAAGAAAAATGAGAAGAGATGATATGGGATACTTTTGCTTTTGAAGAAGTAACTTTCCACAGGCTTATTCTTGAACTGGGCTGGAGGGTTTTCTGGTTTCCTCCAGAGTATAAGGCCGACTGAAGAATTTGAGGGTCAAAACAAGTCCATCAAATCTAGAGTACGTTCGACCCTGCTGATATGGGATACTTTTGCTTTTGACAGAGTAAGTGGATGTATCGGCACGTGTGCTGTTACGCTTGTCTCCACATGCTTCCTTGTATCCTTCTCACTTGCCCTATCTGTTCCTCAGGCAGATGCGGTATCTTCCCTGGAAACATAAGATGTTGAAGATGAGTACTCGAGAGCAATGCCAGGTAAGTAATCAGGTAAGGGGTTCCAGGCAGTCAGTTCCTGGCTGGAAGCTTGATTCCAAGTGCTGACTGATTGCTCTCTTTCTCCTTGTCTTGCAGGTAAGAACAAGGCCAAAGGAAAAGACAGGGAAAAAGCATGATATGGGATACTCTTGCTTTTAACCCTGATGATATGAGATATTCTTGCTCTAGTATAGCTTGTTTGCAGAGGTATTATCGGGGGGAAAGAAAGCTGAATATTTCGAAAGGCTTCGTTGGGAGTGCCCTCTCAGATATGAGGAAAGGGTTGAGCATTTTTGCAGGTCTGCCTGTCCGTTGGGGATGGAGGTCGACATATATATAGGAGTCTCCCTAACAACAAGTAAGTAATGCTATTCCTTTACCCTGCTTGGTCATAGCACGGTAGTGGGAGCTGCCAGCTTCACATGTTTTAACTCTGTCAGAGCACTTTGAAAAAGTGGTCTGTGGTATCTGGAAAGCTGATGTTGCGTGTGAAGATTACAGACAAGCTTTATCCAAGGAGATCCAGCTCTTGAAGTTGGGAAAGTGGTGCCTCTTCGGTTTTCGAACAAGCAATCCTGTCGGGGATCTGGCTCTCGAGATTCGGAGAACGATGCCTCTTCGATTTTTGAGAAAGCAATCCTGCTGGGGGTCTGGCTCTCGAGATTCGGAGAGCGGTGTCTCTTCGATTTTTGAGAAAGTAATCATGTTGGGAGTCTGGCTCTCGAGATTCGGAGGGCGGTGCCTCTTCGATTTTGGAGCAAGCAATCTTGTTGGGAGTGTTTTCTCGAATGTGAGTAAAGGTTGGGCATGTTTGCTAGTCTACCTTGCCACGAAGCACAGAGGTTGACACACAGGGACTTTCCAATTATCCAGCAGTGGTACTGTTCCTTTACCCTCTCTTCGATTTTTGAGAAAGTAATCATGTTGGGAGTCTGGCTCTCGAGATTCGGAGGGCGGTGCCTCTTCGATTTTGGAGCAAGCAATCTTGTTGGGAGTGTTTTCTCGAATGTGAGTAAAGGTTGGGCATGTTTGCTAGTCTACCTTGCCACGAAGCACAGAGGTTGACACACAGGGACTTTCCAATTATCCAGCAAGTGGTACTGTTCCTTTACCCTCTCTTCGATTTTTTGAGAAAGTAATCATGTTGGGAGTCTGGCTCTCGAGATTCGGAGGGCGGTGCCTCTTCGATTTTGGAGCAAGCAATCTTGTTGGGAGTGTTTTCTCGAATGTGAGTAAAGGTTGGGCATGTTTGCTAGTCTACCTTGCCACGAAGCACAGAGGTTGACACACCGGGACTTTCCAATTATCCAGCAGTGGTACTGTTCCTTTACCCTTGTGGGTAATAATATGGTAGCTAGACCTTCAAAATTTATGTGTCTAAACTTTGTTAGTGTTGTTTCTTTGCTATTCTTTTACCCTTCTTGGTCAGAGCGATGTAGTGGGAGCTGCAAGCTTCACGTGTCTCAACTTTGTCAGAGAACTTTGGCAAAGTTATCTGTGGTACCCATGAGCTACTGTTGCGTGTGGGAAGTGGGTGATTGAACAGTAAGATTCATGTGCTTTCTACTTCGCCAGAAATCTTCGACAGAATGCCCATAATTTCCGCAAAGCTGAGTGTGCGTGTGACAGGTGCTGACAAGGCTGGAAAAGTAGGTGCCTCTTCGATTTCTGAGATCGGCCCTCGTGGTCTCTGAGCAGCCCAGCTTTTGAGAAAGCAAGCGCCTCTTCGATTTCTGAGATCGGCCTTCGTGGTCTTTGAGCAGCCCAGCTTTTGAGAAAGCAAACGCCTCTTCGATTTCTGAGATCGACCCTCGTGGTCTCTGAGCAGCCCAGCTTTTGAGAAAGCAAACGCCTCTTCGATTTCTGAGCAGGCGCCTCTTCGATTTCTGAAGCTTCCGTCGAGTGCAGATTTTTATAAGGGCTGGACATTAAGTTCCAAAGCACACTTGAATCTCCACCAGTAGAAGCTCCATTCTTGCACTTCTAAGATCTTGATTTGTCCGACCTCTTCTCTCTCTTCAACACCTTTGAAAATGTCTGGCCCCTCCGACCGTCGTTTTGACTTGAACCTTGTTGAAGAGGCAGCCCCGCCTTCTCCAGACAACATATGGCGCCCATCCTTCGTCTCCCCTACTGGTCCTCTTACCGTTGGGGATTCCGTGATGAAGAATGATATGACCGCTGCGGTGGTGGCCAGGAACCTTCTCACTCCCAAAGATAACAGACTACTTTCCAAACGGTCTGATGAGTTGGCTGTTAAGGATTCTCTGGCTCTCAGTGTTCAGTGTGTGCAGGTTCTGTGTCTAATATGGCCCAACGCCTATTTGCTCGAACCCGCCAAGTTGAATCATTGGCGGCTGAAGTGATGAGTCTCAAACAGGAGATTAGAGGGCTCAAGCATGAGAATAAACAGTTGCACCGGCTCGCACATGACTATGCTACAAACATGAAGAGGAAGCTTGACCAGATGAAGGAATCTGATGGTCAGGTTTTACTTGATCATCAGAGATTTGTGGGTTTGTTCCAAAGGCATTTATTGCCTTCGTCTTCTGGGGCTGTACCGCGTAATGAAGCTCCAAATGATCAACCTCTGATGCCTCCTCCTTCTAGGGTTCTGTCCAGTACTGAGGCTCCGAAATGATCCCCCTCCGGTGCCTTCTCTTTCTGGGGCTCTACCGACTGCTGAGACTTCTCCTAAGCAACCTTTGTGAAGGCTCCCTCTTGTTTGTTTATTTTGACTCATGTATATGTACATATTTGTAACTTATCGGGGATATCAATAAATAAGCTTTCCTTCATTTCAACGTATTGTGTTAAATACACCAAAGCCTTCTTCGCTAAGTTCTTTGAATTTTCTTTTGTTGAAGCTTGTATGTTGAAGCTTTGTGAGTGGAGCATGTAGGTTGAGGTAGTGTTCCCTTAATTTCCCGAGTGAGGAAAACTTCTCGGTTGGAGACTTGGAAAATCCAAGTCACTGAGTGGGATCGGCTATATGAATCTTAGAACGCCATTGTGTTCTATCCTGTGTCATGTCCTCCGTTAGATCCAAGTACTCTAAGTCTTTTCTTAGAGTCTCTTCCAAAGTTTTCCTAGGTCTTCCTCTACCCCTTCGGCCCTGAACCTCTGTCCCATAGTCGCATCTTCTAATTGGAGCGTCAGTAGGCCTTCTTTGCACATGTCCAAACCACCGTAACCGATTTTCTCTCATCTTTCCTTCAATTTCGGCTACTCCTACTTTACCCCGGATATCCTCATTCCTAATCTTATCCTTTCTCGTGTGCCCACACATCCAACGAAGCATCCTCATCTCTCCGCTACACCCATTTTGTGTACGTGTTGATGCTTCACCGCCCAACATTCTGTGCCATACAGCATCGCCGGCCTTATTGCCGTCCTATAAAATTTTCCCTTGAGCTTCAGTGGCATACGGCGGTCACACAACACGCCGGATGCACTCTTCCACTTCATCCATCCAGCTTGTATTCTATGGTTGAGATCTCCATCTAATTCTCCGTTCTTTTGCAAGATAGATCCTAGGTAACGAAAACGGTCGCTCTTTGGTATTTCTTGATCTCCGATCCTCACCCCTAACTCGTTTTGGCCTCCATTTGCACTGAACTTGCACTCCATATATTCTGTCTTTGATCGGCTTAGGCGAAGACCTTTAGATTCCAACACTTCTCTCCAAAGGTTAAGCTTTGCATTTACCCCTTCCTGAGTTTCATCTATCAACACTATATCGTCTGCGAAAAGCATACACCAAGGAATATCATCTTGAATATGTCCTGTTAACTCATCCATTACCAACGCAAAAAGGTAAGGACTTAAGGATGAGCCTTGATGTAATCCTACAGTTATGGGAAAGCTTTCGGTTTGTCCTTCATGAGTTCTTACGGCAGTCTTTGCTCCTTCATACATATCCTTTATAGCTTGGATATATGCTACTCGTACTCCTTTCTTCTCTAAAATCCTCCAAAGAATGTCTCTTGGGACCCTATCATACGCTTTTTCCAAATCTATAAAGACCATGTGTAAATCCTTTTTCCCATCTCTATATCTTTCCATCAATCTTCGTAAGAGATAGATTGCCTCCATGGTTGAGCGCCCTGGCATGAACCCGAATTGGTTGTCCGAAACCCGTGTCTCTTGCCTCAATCTATGCTCAATGACTCTCTCCCAGAGCTTCATTGTATGACTCATTAGCTTAATACCCCTATAGTTCATGCAATTTTTGTACGTCGCCCTTATTCTTGTAGATAGGCACCAAAGTGCTCGTTCGCCACTCATTTGGCATCTTCTTCGTTTTCAAAATCCTATTGAAAAGGTCAGTGAGCCATGTTATACCTGTCTCTCCCAAAACTTTCCACACTTCGATTGGTATATCGTCTGGGCCTACTGCTTTTCTATGCTTCATCTTCTTCAAAGCTACAACCACTTCTTCCTTCCGGATTCGACGATAAAAAGAGTAGTTTCTACACTCTTCTGAGTTACTCAACTCCCCTAAAGAAGCACTCCTTTCATGTCCTTCATTGAAAAGATTATGAAAATAACCTCTCCATCTGTCTTTAACCGCGTTCTCTGTAGCAAGAACCTTTCCATCCTCATCCTTGATGCACCTCACTTGGTTTAGGTCCCTTGTCTTCTTTTCCCTTGCTCTAGCTAGTTTATAGATATCCAACTCTCCTTCTTTGGTATCTAGTCGCTTATACATATCGTCGTATAAGCCGCTAACTTAGCTTCTCTCACAGCTTTCTTCGCCTCTTGCTTCGCTTTTCTATACCTTTCACCATTTTCATCGGTCCTATCCTTGTATAAGGCTTTACAACATTCCTTCTTAGCCTTCACCTTTGTTTGTACCTCCTCATTCCACCACCAAGATTCCTTTTGGTGTGGGGCAAAGCCCTTGGACTCTCCTAATACCTCTTTTGCTACTTTTCGGATACAACTAGCCATGGAATCCCACATTTGGCTAGCTTCCCCCTCTCTATCCCACACACACTGGGTGATTACTTTCTCTTTGAAAATTGCTTGTTTTTCTTCTTTTAGATTCCACCATCTAGTCCTTGGGCACTTCCAAGTCTTGTTCTTTTTTCTCACTCTTTTGATATGTACATCCATCACCAACAAGCGATGTTGATTAGCCACGCTCTCTCCTGGTATAACTTTGCAATCCTTACAAGTTATACGATCCCCTTTCCTCATTAGAAGAAAATCTATTTGTGTTTTTTGACGACCCACTCTTGTAGGTGATCACATGTTCTTCTCTCTTCTTAAAGAAGGTGTTGGCTAAGAAGAGATCATATGCCATTGCAAAATCCAAGATAGCTTCCCCATCCTCGTTTCTCTCCCCAAAACCATGGCCACCATGAAAACCTCCATAGTTGCCTGTCTCCCTGCCCACGTGTCCATTTAAATCTCCTCCTATAAATAACTTCTCCGTCTGAGCAATTCCTTGCACCAAGTCTCCAAGGTCTTCCCAAAATTTCTCCTTCGAACTCGTATCCAACCCTACTTGAGGTGCGTACGCACTAATCACATTGATAAGTTCTTGTCCTATTACAATCTTGATTGCCATGATTCTATCTCCTACCCTCTTGACATCTACAACATCTTGTGTCAAGGTCTTGTCCACGATGATGCCAACACCGTTTCTCGTTTCTATTTGTGCCCGAATACCATAGTTTAAACCCTGAGTTTTCTAGATCCTTTGCCTTACGACCAACCCACTTAGTTTCTTGTAGGCACATAATATTTATCCTTCTCCTCACCATAACTTCTACTACTTCCATAGATTTTCCCGTTCAAGGTTCCTATATTCCACGTTCCTAAACGCATTTTTGCTCTCTTGAACTCTACCCTTCTGTCCTAGCTTCTTCACCCTTCCCCGTCTAATATGATCAAAGTACTTCTTTTGTGTGTCCCGTGTAAAGTTGATAGGAGCATATGCTCCCAAACAACTTTGAGTGGAGTCGTTCGAAAAGAAGTTTCTATAGCCCCCTTGCTCATTTAACACTGCATCCGGGTGCCGATGGAGATACAGCGACCCTTGCTCACTTATCACTGTGCTCAGGCCACACAGCGCGCCACTTACGGGTGACGCCCTAGCTTTAGCGCGATTTCGTTCTGGATTCATTTTCATAAGGATTCGACGTGATCATGGAGTGCCGGCTGTCGACTACCTGACGCCCTCCCCTTCCTCCTTTATCCGGGCTTGGGACCGGCAATGTAAGATAAACTTACACGGCGGAGTTATGTAAGCAAAAAAGAAAAAAGAAAAAAAATCATAAAAGACCATTGAAATCAATTTTCAAAATACAAACATCTAAGATGCTTAAACTTGAATCAAATATCACTATTCGATAAAAATAAACTCAATATTTACTAAATGAATGTAGAACTTGTATTGCATAATATGCCTACTTCATATAATTGCTAATAAACGGAACAATTCCTTATCTATATGGATATTAAAAGGAACATCAATTCAACAATGTGTCCATTGCTTTCATTCTCAAGCACACAGTACAAATAAACCAACAAAGGATTCAACTCTTAAGTGAACTAATCGATGTCATTATATATTTACTAAATGCTCTAACTCAAAAACGCATAATTGTCTTCAACCTTTTTCTCAATTCTCTATACAATCAATCATAACAAAAGAAGGAAGAGGATGATGCTTACCTGCTTCTTGTTGATCACATGTGTGACGCGAATACTACTCACTCCATCCATGACCAAGCATCGAAGTAGTTTCTCCATTCTCATCTGAACTCCCACCAGGCCCAACTGTCCCAATAACATTATATATTATTATTTCTTATAGTAGCTATCAAACCCATCAACATTCCAAGGCACAAAATCACAAAATTAATTACATAATTCAGGAGAAGGTTTTAGCATGCAAAGAAAACAAAACTTACTTTTAGTTATGATTACGTCCCTTAAAAGCTCAATTCATTAGGATCACACAATTTAAAAACTCAATTCATACATACATTCTAATATCATTTGAGATTTCCACTCCCATAAGCAGTGATACTAAAATAAGCTACATACTACGATTGCCATTGGTAAGAAACTATTTGGCCTGGTTTTCCAAGCACACCAAGAACTAAGATCCTAACAATTAGACCATGGTTGGTAATTCATTAATTCGTTTTTATCATAAATTTCGCGGCCAAGCCGAGAAGCAACAATTTTTTTGCCATTTTCATCTTCTATACCATGAACTTTCGACTCAAAAAAATTGACTTTCTCCCTGCCTAATGTGTAATTCCAATGCACACAAACACTGACTAACCAATCAATTCATACAGATAATGCAAATATCAATTTCCTAGTAACATTGTTCTTATATGAAGATAAAATCAACTAAATCCAACAATCCAAGAACTACCTCTACTTTTACCATCACATCTAAGTTCCTCGCAAGTCCAGCAACCCTCAACGACGGAATCCACGATGGAGAATCCATTATCCACAGCCCGCCAGGATGCTCTGACAGCCTTTACGAAGGGCCATGTGCTCACCACCACAGGGTACTGCCCTGAGTTCGAAGCTTCGTGGCCTATGACCTGATAACCCATCAATAAAAATACGATCTTTAATAAAATAATACCACCCAATCATGCATGTAACGAAAGAACCAACTTTTTCCTCTTTAAATTAAAAAAAAATTAAAAACAATTATGCTCAGTTTCTAGGTTTCCTTGCTTTTTAATTATTTTTCTGAGGAAACAAACAGAAAGTAGGAAAATGATGAGATGCAGAGAGAGATGGACGGATTGGATTAGAGAGGAGTCGGAAGCGGGATTGCCAGTTCTCTGTAAATTCGCTGGAAACAGAGCAGTTAGGGTTTGAAGTGGAAACTACAAATTCGAAGCATAGCTTGACATGCAATAGGTGTAGAAAGTACCTGAGGTGATGAGGAGCCGTTTCAGAACAATGGAATCGTTGAAATCATCGCTGGGCGCAACTGTGTATCCAGCGAGTCGTGGAGAGAAGAGTGAGGGAGAAGAGATAGAAGGGAGAAGGAAGAATATAAGGAGAACATTTCGTTTTGGTTGGTTTGAGGTTTGAGAGTTTTCAGAAGTCGTAGAGAAGAGCTCAGGTGTGATTCGAGAAGGCTTAGGACTGTGTCGAACAGAAGCAGCAACCAAGGTATAAAATATGGATTATATCAGAAATATCGGTAGTCCAAAAACAAGGAAATTTCGATGGAAATATCGGGATATTATCGATATCGATAAAAAATGAATAAAAACCACGGAAATTGTAAGAAAAACGTGGAAATTTTTATTGAAACTTTGCAGGATATTTATTTAGTCAATTATCTATTAGTTTATCACAAAAAATTAGAAGGAAATGCATTGCATGATACATATAACTGATTTAAGTTGATTATATAGTGAGCTGGCAAACATTGTGAGTGTAGAAAATATGTAATAATTAATGAAAGAAGTTTAAACACACCATAATCATTTATATATAATAAATTAGTACAATATTTTACACTTTATACATTGCATGGTAAGATATATGAGTGACTTAGCAAGGTCTAAAATATCGATGATATCGGAAATATCGGTAGTCCAAAAAAATATCGGTAGTCCAAAAACATGGAAATTTCGATAGAAATATCGAGATATTATGGATATTTTAGACCACGGCAGCAACTACAGATTTAAGGGTGAAAATAGGAGAAAAAGAAATGGAAAAAAATAAAGTCTTTATATATTTTCTCAGACAGTGGCAAACATGCAATAACAAAAATTAAACAGGGGCAAAATCGTCAGTGCACTGTGCTTATGAACAGTGTTCAGTGTGTTTTTCAGTTTTAGTATAGATTGAATTTGTGTTCACTATTGGCACAAGACTCAATTTATATGAGTTTTGCAACGGTTGAGCTGGAAACTGTAGAATTATGGCTTCTTGGGTTAATGTATTACAATATATAGAGGGCTATATTAATCCCTATCTAGATTGGAATGTTGCACTAATTACAACTGGAAATTACATTCCTATAATACGTCTACAATACGGAGAGGATTCTAAATTAACTATGATAGAATTATGACTCCTAACGTGTGGAAAATATTGCAATATTTACATTAATTCATATTTAGGTAGGAATCCTATACTAATTACAATTGGTAATTACATTCTTATAATATAGGCTACAATCACATAGATAATTACAAAAAAATTAGGAGTAATCTAACAAACAATCACACATAAGGATTACGAATATATGGAACATGTAAGCAGAGGAAATTCTAGCCTCATTCAGGCAACAAACGAATTAAACTAAAAGTCCCTTAAAAGGTAATTACTTGCTAACCAACTTTTAACGCCGCAGTTCCTATTGGGGAAGGAACCCTAAAGTATTTTCCATGATTCCTATTGGGTAAGAACTCAAATTTCTCATCCAGTTGGAAGAAGAAGACATGATCACCAGAGATTACCGGAGGATATTTGCTGCCATATTCTCACATTCTTGCCAATTACACATCCCGAGGTGATAGAGTATTTGAAAGATAGCACCTTTTGCTTCCTTCACAAACCTAAAGCTTGATGACCGGTTGCTGCTTCGCCACAAAAGCTCCAAAACCATTTACAACTACGCCTCCCTATTTGGCACCTTCGTTATCAACGTGCCCCGCCTCATCAATTTTCCATGCATGCGAAAACTCGCATTCGTTTGCCCCAAGTCTCCGACTCCAACAACCTGAATTGCATAAATTCTTGGTTGCTTGGTGCATGCACATCCAATACAGTTGCGGTAGAGATCGGTATTTTGTACACAGAAAACCCGATTGAATTTCCTCAAATTTTGTATGTCAGCACTTCGTTTCTCGTATTAAACCTAAATGGGAACTTACGGCTGGATTTTCCTCCGGATAAAATGTGGTTTCCGAGCCTCAATGTTCTCTGGATAAAGGTTTGTAGAGAAGATGGTATTAGTTTTAAGGAGAGGCTTTTTCCACATCTGCCGTGTACTTGAAGATTTGTTCATAGAGGGCGACATATTGAACAAGAAAAGGGAAGTGGTTTAAAGGTGAAATCTAATACACTCAAGAGTTAGAGATTGAATGTCTGGTGCAAAATTTTAAGGGAACTTTAATGAAAAGCTTCCAGTACTGTTCACTTTAACGAAAAACCACATTTTTACATTAAAAAGTCAATCATTGTACTATCCACTTTACCCTTTATTTTGTCTTTAATTTTAATGGCGATATCGATTATAGCTTTGTGGTTGATTTGCCCGAACCATAAAAACCTCGAGCTCTGCAATGGTTTCTTGGCCAAGTATAAAATCGCTGCGAATTTGAAGTTCTTGATCATGTGAAGATTCGTATCGGAAAACCTTCAGCAGATTATGGTGAACTTAGAGATTTATTTCGAGGTAAACCGCCCAAGTCGTGCTTTCGAGTTTTTGTTAACTGTATATTATTCGTATTTGTATGAGTTAATTGAATTATGAAAATAGTCTCTTGCCAGCTCCTGTGAATAAAAATTTTAGACCATGAATTTAGACGATTGAGTTGCCTAAATATGAGGTCCAAATTACCAAAACTTAGTCATAATTACGTTCTATTTACCATTTGATTTAATGTAAGAGCCTAAACCTCAAATCAGTGACCTTTCGGCTACTAATGTGCAACCTTTCCGTACTAAACAGCGTGTATGAGCCTAAACCTATTTGATTTAATGTAGGTGTCTACAACTTGAACTCGTGATCTTTCGATCATAAAAGAACAACATTTCCGTTACGCCAATGCTCGCCCTGTGAGGGCGTGAGGCCCCTTTTATGCAATATTTAGTAACTAACGATGTTCGTTAGTTTTGAAAGTTTGCTTTCCTTACGCGTTTGGAGCTCATTTTTCTGCACGCATAAAATTACGATTCATGTCCAAGAAGAAGCAACACCAGAGATGAGGCTCAGAGAAGCGTTGGAATATCCAAGAGCTTCAGAAGCATGTTTAGCGGAGATAATTTAAACTTAAAAAAATGAAAATTTGAAGTTAAATTATCTTTCAAATTCATGCTCATCTGTCGACTCCTCAAATTCCAAGTATGTTACATATAAGGCTGTAAATCGGCTTGAAACAGCTCGAACTTGCACCAAGTTTGGATCCGAGTCTTTTACAGCCCTAGCCATATAGGAGATCAAAATTGTAATTTTATTATCTCAGCCACAAAATACAAGCTAGATGAATGAAGTGAAAGAGTGCATCAGGCATGTTATGCGTTCTGCATTCGTCGCATTCCACTAAAACTCAAGGGAAAGTTCTATAGGATGGTTCATCACATTTCACTAAAACTCAAGGGAAAGTTCTATAGGACGGTAATAAAGTCAATAATGTTTTATAGCACGGAATGTTGGACGGTCATAACAACACATGCAAAAAATAAGGGTAGCGGAGATAAGAATGTTCGTTAGATGTGTGGGCACATGAGAAATGATAGGATTAAGAACGAGGGTATGAGTGGCAATTGAAGATAAGATGAGAGATCGGCTAAGATTGTTTGGACACATGAACCGAAGACCTACAAATGATCCGGTTAGAATATGCGACTATGAGACGAAGGCTCAAGACAAAAGGGGTAGAAGAACACCTAGGAAGACTTTGAAAGAGACTAGATATGAAGTAATTGGAGCTAACAGGGAAGACTTAGTGCAAAACCAAGCACAGTAGCGTTCTAGATTCATGATCAATCAATTTGCTACGAAATCAGTCAACAAAATACATCCTTTTCTATGCATCTGCAAAAATGGCTAAACCGCTGAGGAGAACAAACGACAGGAAATATTACAGCCTAGAATGTATGACAATGAGGCTAAAGTGGACAACAGAAACAGAAGGCTACCCTTAGTTGCTCAGTCTAACTATGAATCTGTATGCACTTAAGATTCTTAAACTAGGGGAATAACGGAATTAAATGCCAGAATTACACTGAACCTTTTTCACACAGCAGCATCAGGGTCCAACCTTCTCTGAATAGCAGCGGCAGCCTGAAAATAAGAGGCCGTAAACAAAAATCCAGAAATGACTTTAAGAATTACACCAAGACAGCTCAGTTACTTATCCTCACCTCCATGTTTCCAATCTTGTACTGGTAAGCCATCTCTTCTCGGAGTTGAGCTTGTTCTTTCATTGCTTGTGCCTGGAAATTTTAATGGAATCAAACGATGACAAAGTGCAACTTCGACTTCAGACGGAGTTTATGTACAATAAACAAATTGAACGTTTTCATATGAGTAATGAAACAGAAATGTACCAGTCCACTCTGCATAGAGCGCTTCAGAGCCTCTACTTCTTCTTCCTTTTGCTTTTCACGCACTCGCATCATTTCTTGTCTGAATAGCAATATATAATATAATATTATATTATTAGCCAAACCCAAGAATGTAAATGGTTTAACAGATCCAAAATGGTATTATGTTTCTCCTATCTTCTATATAAAAAGTTGCCTGAACATTATTTCCTTTTGTCTCCAAAATACTATTAAATAAGTACAGCCAGGTGAAATATAATTTTTTCTCATTGTACATAGTATAGTTATTAGACAAAATGAGGAGTGAGTGGTTGACACGTTAGCTATCAATGGAAATCATATGAATGTACTAAAACTGAATGTTGCCAAAACTAGTCCATAAAATGAAATCAGATAGCAATAAAAACACTACCTTTTCTGTTCCTCATCGTTGAATACAATACGTTCTGTTGGCGCAACCTTCTTAAAACCTCTTTTAATTTCCTTTTCCATCTTATTCCTGTAATAATTATCAAGGCTGTAGTACCTGCAACCACAAAGGTTAAAGTAATTACTTGTCATTCTGTGGTATTACTTGAAGATGAATCTAACAAGTAAAAAAAAAAAAACAGAAAAAGTGAGAACATACAATCATTCTCACCCTTACGAACCCTTACAACCAACAGAGAAAAGGTTACGCGTGTAAAATTAAAAGCACACAATTCTTTTTAATTTCAGATAATATCTCCCCATTGTTTCCATCTCTAATTAACAAAAAACTGGCATGTTCTGCTGCCAAATTGTGAGCCAAAATCGCACATTCAGACACAAGTAAAACTAATCACGCATATTGATTCAAAATCTGGCAACACAATGGCTGTCTAGTAAATTGGTTATACACTATGATTAATCACACATTTATGATAACAACACTTGAAAGAATCTGGCAAATCAAGAAAGATATTTCAATAAAATTAAATAAAAAACACATTGCATTCTCCTCTAAATCCTAAGAGAAAAGTGTCCACACCACAACCGCAGGTTCAAAAATATCAAGACAGATCTATATAAAATAGCATATCATTTCATTAGGCCTAGCGTAATTCAGGTGCTTGAGCACATTGAGATAAAATTTCTACCTAAAAGGTGAGCACCACAACCTCACCACAACAGCAGGAACAAAGCTTTGTAACTTTTTCTTTTCGGACAAATAAATTGAAATGACCCAAGCTAATAGAATAGAAGCTTACTTTTTCGAAGGGAAGGTAGCTGTATTGTGATCTTCCATGAACCTATTAAAATGGAAACAAATCTCTACTCAGATTGTAAGATACAAAAGTTAGAAGGAAAATACCTACCAAATTCCTGTTATCTTCATTTTATAGATGCTTTCGGAGAAAATAAACTAAATGCATCCACACATCCACACACCCACTTACTGTTTGAACATTTGCTTCTCTTCCCAATTTGCCAGATGTTCCAGGTTCACCTAATGAAAGATAACTCAATTACCATTAGAACTATCATATCGACGACTGCAATTTGGAAACGGATCAACACACGGCTTCGAAACACATACAAATCTTAGAAACTTTACGACTGAAATAAACCACTCTGCAAATTAATGGTTTCATGGGGTGGTAAAATAGTCGGAAAAGGAATTACCTGTTTTACTTCCTGTAACCATGCTGTAAACTCTGGTCGTTTGTTCCTATACACAACAGTGATCATCAAATTCAAGTGGGAGAAGTAAACTTCTTTTTCCTACATTTTCTCAGCAGCCAAACAGAAACTTAAAACCCTAAAACAGTATAAAATTCAGCAAACATACCACATGTCAGTTTCTCTAATGATCCCATACTTCCCCCACGAATTCGTTACCGCTCCTACCTTTCCTTTCTCCTTCTTTTCCTTCCTCTTCTTCTTTCTCTTCTCCTTCTTCTTCTTCCTCTCTTCCTCTTTCTCTCTCCTCCTCCTCTTCCTCTCCTTCTCCTTCTCCTTCTCTCTCTTCCTCCTCTTCCTTTCTCTATCATCATCTTTCTCTCTCATTTTCCTCCTCTTCCGTCTCCTGTCGCCGTCGCTCTCGCTACCACTATCACTCTCCGACTCCGAATCCGAGCCGCTCTCCTCCGATTCCAACTCGGACTCCGAATCCGTATCCTCCTCGCTACTGTACCGCCTCCGCGAACTCCTCCTCCTTCTTTTCACGTGCTTTTCATCGCTGGACTCCGAGCTTTCCCGCGCTTTTCTCCTGGATTTACTTCGCTTCCTGTCTTCGTCGGTCTCGGAATCCGAAATTTCTCGCGCTTTCTCGGATTTTCTTTCGGTTTCTTCCTCTTTCTCGGAGCTTCTGCTTCGTCTCTCCTCTTTCTCCGAGCTCCTGCTTCGTCTCTCTGAAACGCTGCCGTTTCGATCTTTACCCATTTTGCTGTTCAGGGAGAGAGAGGGAAAGAAGCGAATTTAGACGATGATGGAGGTGGAGAGCTAATACAGTGGTTACGTTTCTGTGTTTTCTTCTGATGTGTGATGAGATTTACATGGGCTTACAGGCCCAATATTACGGATCTGCAGCCCACTCTAAGTTAAAATCCAGTGGGCAAGCTTTGATTAATAAATTTTACACTTCAAATTATCGTAAACAAATAGAATTTGTAGAACAAATGTATCGGCTCTCTAATCTAGCATCTAATCTAACAAATCTATCGTTTAATAAAAAAAAATTTGAAGATTGGATTAGTGGGACCACATCAGCACACTAATAAAAATATTGACGATTTTAACGCAATGACTAAATTAATGTTGTGAAAGCAAGAGACCAATTTATCAATTTTTGAAACTCAAAGACCAAAATAAGGAGTTGGGTTAATGTCAAGAATCATTTGTGATAAAAACCCTTATTTTGTGTGTCCCTCATATAAACAAACATAATAGTTGACGGAATCTAAACAAAATGACTAAATTGATATGTGTTAATGAATTCCAAAAACGAGATTAAGTAATTTTAAAAGTGAAGAACTAAAATCATTGTTCTAAAAATCCCCGCCTAGCGCCGCCTAGGCCCTGCCTAGGCGCTAGGCCCCAACCCACCGCCTAAACCACCTAGGCACTCACCTAACCCGCTTAGACCTGCCTAGGTTGCAACTCACTTAGACAGAAAATACACAACTTTCATTTTGCATTTTGTTTTTTTTTCCAATAGATTGTAAGGGACTTGTTGCATACTTGAATAAACAAACATTATATCCTTATTTCATATGTTTTCATTATGTTCCAATACTTCATGATATATATGCATTCTATTTTGTAGTTTATGATGAAATTATATATATTTCAAGTAGAAGCAGACACTTATTTACTTGAAATATGATAGATTTACTTAAATCCGCTTAGTCCGCCTAGACGCCCGCCTAGCCGCCTAAGCGCTAGGCTTCAGCCCGCCGCCCAACTAGCGCCTAGCAACTTTTAAAACCTTAACTAAAATAATAAGTTTGATCAATCTCATAATCAAACAGCTCAATATATTTTGTACTTGGAAATTTTGAGAATTGGGTGCGTTGAGAGATAGGATGGGTGTGCCGCACTGACAACTCGACACTTCCACTGCCATCTCCAACCCCCGCTTAAACCCCCCAAATTCCCTTCCATCACTTGACTTGTTCCTCCCATGGCTTCTGCAGTCTTCAGACTCCTGAAGAGCCACCAAAGTCTCACTGCAAATTCAACCCCAACAAAATATTTCTCCAGATTAAGGCACACTGCCAGTACAAGAAACCTCTACTCCAGAATCAGTCCTCTGGGTGACCCTTCTCTCAGCGTTGCCCCAGTCCTCGACGAGTGGGTTCAACAGGGCCGGAAAGTCAATTACTTCGAGCTCCACCGCATCGTCCGGGACCTCCGCGCCCGAAAGCGGTTCCGGCACGCCCTTGATGTGAGTCAATTCCAGGAGCAAGGTCCCTGCTCCCCTTTTGGTTGCTCAGAAAATGCATGAAAGTAAACTGTTTTGGGGTTATTTTCCTTGTGTTTTTTTTTTTGTTGGGTTTCCTATAATTTACTTGAAAGAGCTTATTAATTTCAATTGGGTGATTGTTTTACCTGCAATGCCCTGTTTGGTTGCTGAGAAAGAGACAGATGTGAAAGAAATTTTGAATAATACAGACACAAAACGAGTATTACTTTTGTTTTTTTGGTCTTTGTTGAGACTAATTGACAGAATTCATTGCTCAGGTTTCGATACTCGAAATATGTGTTCTTTTTTCCCTTGAAATTTAGGATCAATAAAGCAGATTTAATATTGTCCACAGTTTTCAGTTGGTTTGTAACTCAAATTTCTGCCTTGCATTGTAGAGCAGGTTTCTGAATGGATGAGTACTAAAGGTTTGTGCCAATTTTTACCCGGGGATTGCGCCGTGCAGCTTGATCTCATTGGTCACGTTCACGGTCTGGATGCTGCAGAGAGCCGCTTTAATAGCTTGAGCGATGAGGAAAAAAGTGACAAAGTTTATGGTGCACTTCTAAATTGTTATGTCAGAGAAGGCCTGGTCGATAAATCTATTTCTCATATGCAGAAGATGGAAGAGTTGGGCTATGTTTCCACTCTCACCTACAATGACATTATGTGTCTTTATATGCATACAGGCCAGCCCGAGAAAATCCCTGATGTAATGTTTGAGATGAAGGAGAAGGGTGTTTCTCCTGACAGTTTTAGCTACAGGATTTGCATGAGCTCTTATGGGGTGAGGTCTGATCTAAGCAGCGTGGAGAAAGTTTTGGAAAAAATGGAGAGCCAACCGCACATCTCCATGGATTGGATTACTTATGCTATGGTAGCCAATTTATACATAAAAGCAGGTCTGCCCGACAAAGCGTTGGTCTACCTGGGAAAGAGTGAAGAGAAGGTGAATAGAGATGCACTTGGATACAACCATCTGATTACTCTTTATGCAAGCCTTGGATATAAAGATGACATGATGAGGTTGTGGAACCTTGAAAAAGCCAAGTGCAAAAAGCAAATCAACCGGGACTATATAACCATGCTTGGTTCTCTTGTGAAGCTTGGTGAGCTTGAAGAAACTAAAAAATTGCTAGAGGAGTGGGAATCATCTTGTCACTGTTATGATTTTCGAGTGCCAAATGTCCTCCTGATCGGATATTGTCAGAAGGGATTGGTTGAACAAGCTGAAGAAACTCTTCGAGACATTGTCAAAAGAGGCAAGACTCCAATCCCAAATAGCTGGTCTATTCTTGCTGCAGGGTATGTGGACAAGCAGAAGATGCAGAAGGCTTTTGAGTGCATGATGGAAGCTGTGCATGTACGGGCAAATAACACAGGATGGAATCTGAAATCTGGTTTGGTTTCGAATGTATTGAATTGGATTGGAGATAACGGAGACATTGAACAAGTAGAAGCTTTTGTGACCTTAATGAAGACTGTGATTCCAGTAAATAGTGAAATGTACCATGCCTTAATGAAGGCATACATCAGAAGCGGGAAAGAAGTAGAAGGGCTATTACAGAGCATGAAAGAAGATCAAATAGAGGCCGATGAGGAAATCGATAGGTTAAGACAGACGCAATGCTGAAACGACATGAGGCTTTTTTTATGGGTACTTTTCAGTTTCCCTCATCTATACTATTTTGTAAAAGTAGAACTTGAATTTGAATGCAACTCTTACATTTAGCATGTTGTTGAGCATGTATCTGAGTAAAATTGATAAAGACTAATAGATAATCTCAGTTAGTCTCTGGAAATATTAGTGATACATAACAGTATCAAAATGCATAATATAGGCTTACGAACAAAGTAAATGCATTGGAAAATAACTTATTCCTTCACCTTTGAAGACACTATCATCAGTATGTATATTGCACACGAAGTGATCATAAATAACTTAGTCCGGTTACCTCTTAATTCATAGGTAAAGAGATACCAAGGCTAGTCGACGGCATAATAATTGTTTAAGCAATGCTATTGATTTGATGGTAACGGAAGAAAAAGTCTTCGAAGTACCCGGTATTCAAGTGGGTACTCCACGTGTCATAAAATAAGTGGAGGGACACGGAAACATGTATCATTTCCTCCATTTGTATTATGACATGTGGAGTATCGCTTGTATACCTAGTCTGGTACTTGGAAAATCTCCCGTTACAGGGAATTATAGAAAAGAAGAGCCAAGACTTAGTATCTTGGTAGTAATTGGTTTTAAGTAATAGTTCTTCTTCCCCAAAGATTTAATTCAATTGTTCTTAATAACAATGCTGCATAAGTAAATATTGTAAAACAGTTGCAGAAACTTCACTGCTCGTGTAAAAAACAAACATTTCATTGCTAAATGATTGTAGATCAAGTTTCCAACGTCCTTCATTTTCCCAAAAAACAGAGGGAAAAGGTGGCGGACTGAGAGTATGGAACTGAACAGCATGCATAGCTAGGTAGAGTATTGGAGACAATAGAAGTTTTCTCCCTGTTTTACGCTTGTCGTATAATGTAAACATCTTGTGTAGTTAATACTTTTCTCAAGTGAATTTGGAAGGGGTTTTCATGCACAACAAATAACCTCAGCCTTCATCGTTGACACATTCGGTCACAACAAAGAGCCAAACATGGTACTGGAGGTGCTCCCGGCTGCAACCAACATTCATCCGAAAGGGTAAGTAATCTTAAATACTGAGTATTTGGTTAGGTGTCAATTGTTGGAGAATTAAAATCAAATTCATGATGAAACTTTTATTGAATTGTCTAACTTAATAGTCCATATGTTCTTTGGTTCAGTTCGGTGTTCCATTGGGAATGTTTCGACATTAAGAACAATGTGTTCATGTAATTCTGTAAGAAACATTGATTGAAGGAGTTATATGCCCACGTAAACGTGCAATTTGAGTCAAAACGTGTGAGTGCTAGTTCTCTTCCTCCGCCAATGTCGGGTTGGTGTCTCTTTGTATTGAGAGTTTGATCTCATGTCGAAGAATATGTCAGAGTTTTGATGTCTAGATATATCATGTTCTTGGTTCAATTTGACGAGCAAGATTAGGCTGTCAAATTGAAACAATGTATTTGGAATGTAATTGAAGTGCATAGGTAGGTTGTATTTTTATGGGAACCGTTATTAGCATTCTAAAAATTTCATTTTGTACTCTTGTATTTTTCTTTCTAATTATGGAAAGTTTGGAATGTAAAATGAGATTTTTAGAGTGTTAATAGCAATTCCCATTTTTATGTGTTTAGAAAAGAGTGGTGATAAACCCATCCATTGTCTTATTTCCCCACCTACCTTTTAATAAAAAAAATTAATACCAAATTTACTCTCTTGTAAAATGACATCTTAGACCAAAGAAAAGAAAAACCCCTGCTCTCTAGGTTGACAGATTTGTTCTTCCCCATCTTCTAGAACAACCCACCTCTCTAAATCTTCAAAAAATCAAGTCCCCAGTACCTTTAGCTATTTTAGTTTGATCTATTTGCTTTTGTTGTCAGTACCAGCAAATAGCCTTGAAAACTAAGATAAAGGCTTGTCTGTCCACAATCCATATACCGATTATTGTGGCAGGCGCAGATGAAGTGGAACACGGTGTTCTCGGGGTGGGTGGTGTGCTGGAGGATAGAGAAGACGCCTGAAATTGTGTAAAATGTATTGTATAGATGCGATCCTCGTTGTGCATCTTGATTAATTGAATCGTGTCTTTTTAGATTTTGTTTTACTCAATAAAACTAAAAATAAAAAGAATTTCAATATCAAGGTTATTTTAGGAATAATAGTTGGAGGGAAGATAACATTTCAAGTTTTTAATGTGGTGGGTGTGATGGGAAAATAAGACATTGGAATGGATCTGGTAGCACTCTTAGAAAAATGGACAATTTCATGGTTGCCGTAATAATTATCTTATCTAGTCTTGAATGGAATGTAATTGAAATGGTTTCTAAATTAATTGAAATGGTTTTTTGATTAATTGAAATAGCGTCTAGGTACATATGATTGTCGTAATAGTTATCGTATCTAGCCTCAAATGGAATGTAACAAAAAATGGCGTGGTCCAATATCTTAGTAGACAAAGTATTGAGTTTTTATTTATGCGTTACGAGTTCAAAATCCTTTCTTCCTAAATTATTGTAATAGTTTCGAATTTTCTTTCCCTCTCTATGACAGTAAATTTTTTTTTTAAATGAAACTAAAATCGCTTTGTATATATCCATATTATATATCAAGCTACACATTTAGTCATGCAAGGATAATCAAATTATGAATACAAATATCTTGTATAGGTAAAAAATTTCAAAAGAACAACTGAATGGTCATACGGTTTGTGGTGTGACTACTTTTTTTTTTTTTCAAAGGTTATCTTAGAATGATGTTCTAAAAAAAACGCTTTGGATCATAAGACAACTCTGTAAAATGAGTTCCAACAAGTAGTTAGTACCGTTATATATAACTTATTAACCGGTCAGTACTTTACGTAAACTTTAATAATCACGAAAAAGACAATTAAATTTGTGCATAAAAGGTAACATTACCAAGCATGTAAACTGTTTTTGCCAAAACAAGCTCAATGTTGAAATATCTATTATTTGGATATTTATCTGCCAATTACGGTGAAAAATATGGGCATAGATGGTAACATCACAAAGAAAATGAAATTCGCGTACATGCATTTGAGCTGTGCCAAAAGCTATTTCCTCTACAGTAAAAATTACCTTAAGTTATAAAATATAACCAGATTTTTTTCATACATTTGAGCGTTATTTTATGTTCACGTAGCCCGTGAAAAAAACTCTACGGGCCCATCACAAGTCTATATAAACCTTCATAGCACAAACCATTAGCCACACAATACCCTCATACTCACATATAGCTAGTAGCTAATGCTTTCATAGTCGCATTCTTTCAAGTCTCTTTCACCCAACTCCTTACCAATCTCCACTTAGCCATTCCCCATTCAGTACTAGTACCATGACAACCCTCTCATCTATGCTCGACGGACTCAATACCAACAACCAGCTGCTAGCCTCGTCAATCAACTTGCAGTGAGATCATGCCAGCAAAAATGTGTCTTTCGGAGATACCATCGATCAATAAAAATGTACGTCGGGGTGTACTGGTCTACCCATATAGACCAGTGCTCCCCACGATGATATTTCAACCACATCTCATTTTCCAGGTTTTGGAATATTCGATGGTCGTGGGCTGCCTCAACACTTGGGAGGGGGAACTCAAAATCCATCGAATCCAATTCAAGTACCATCAACCCGCCCATTATTTCCATACAACACCACTAAATCAGAATCCTTTAACATTTCAATCACCAACCCTAAGCAGACCACAAAGTTCATCGCTAACCAATCATCTTCCAAATACTAGTCCTAATCATGTCGTGTCTAGGACTAGTACTGGATTTAGACTTCCATCATTGATCTCATCCAATATAAATTTTGGAAGAAGGCCAACAATTGCTACCAACCAAGCTGAAGATCATCATCAGCCTCAACCCTCGTACTGCTGCTAAGGAGAGCAACACTACAACGACAATGACGACATCAACAATAACAACAAAAGACAGCAACAACAGCAGAAGACAACAACAGCAAAAGACAGCAACAATAACAAGAAGACAGCAACAACAATAAAAATGGTATCACCACGGGCCCAACTCGAGAGCAAGCGTAAGTGTTTCGGAGTGTGGCAAGACGCTTGCAAGCTGGAGTGCCATGCGGGGCATATGAGGTCCAATACAAGAAAAAGGAAACTGGAAGAAGCAACAAATCTTGAGAAAAGATTCAAGCCTTTAGACTACAGGTCTTGACTTGGTTAATATTCGTACGTTTGAGAGTAACTCGTCTTCTTGGACAGACAATCCCTTTACTGTGAGTGCTAGTTGTCCAAGCCCTACCCCATTCGATTCCCCACTGGGAGCACAAGTGCTTCGAGTGGATCAGTTCAACATGGTGCTCATCCAACTATGGCGTATAAATTTTATGTGAAAGAAGTTCCCAATGAAGAGTCAACGTTTGCGTTTTATTTTCTTATTCTCTAATATCACTTGGAATGAGGATCCCGAGGATCCTCAAATTGTGTCCATTCATCGTATATCGTGCGATCATTTTTTGTCAGATAGTGTTCATGTTTAATTTTAAATAAAAAAATATTTAAATAATTTATAGTTGTACGATGTACGATGAATGGACACGATTTGAGGATTCCTAGGATCCACATTAATATCACTTGTATCCATTAGGAAAAAAAAAATTGTTGTACTTTTAAAAAGATAGTATAAATAATAGTATAAAAATAGAAATTTTCGTCCAAAAATTGATCTTATCTTTTCTTCTAGTCTTCTCTCTCCTAAACTTACCTAAGTTTCTATTCACTAATGAAGGTCATATTATACTTTAGTGTTGATTTTTTCGTATCAATTTAAATAAATATTTAATTTTTACATTGAGTGTCAATAAATTTTCAGCAATTACCACCAACTTAATTATTAGATCCAACTCATATAGTACTCGATGGTCATCACTTGTATTCAAAGAGTTATCCTTAATTAGTTATGTTGCGGTTTTGTGCGTTATCCCCATGTATCGAGTTATGAACCAATTCAATTTCTAGTTGTCATAATTGAAGTTCTTTTGACTTTGGAATTACATGGTTGCGTTCTTTTGTTGCTTCTCCTACTTGTCACACATACAAATCTGTCAATATGATAGCTATTAGAATAGCGAGGTTGGCCTTGATTTTTTCTATTGAGTCTTAATTTTTGGTTTAAGGATTTCTTTAAAGTTTGTACCTTGTCACAAAAACACAAGCAAATTATAAATAAAAAACAATAGGTGTCACTAAACTCAAAAGACTTAGAACCAACATAACTAGATGCAACTATTATCAAACAAACTTAATTACATCCGATCCTTATTCCCAAATCTTAGACTTAGTATGTTGTTTAGCGCATATCTGCATCCACAAAACTTGAAAATGAAATTTACAAATACAAACTAATTGAGAGGTAGATAATTTTTGCGTTTACCGCTGTACTTAATTAAGAATTTCTCTTTTAAAAGCAGAATATGTATATTTCGCAACAATTTCATATGCCAGATTCCAAACTGAATAGAGCTCGAGTTTTGTTGTATACAATTTTAATTTTTTCTTGTTAAAAAAATGTTTCATTTTTTCGTAAGTCCCTCCACTAATTTGTTCTAGCATTGAACAAACTACCATGTAAAATTTTAGCACTTCCTTGTAGGGGATCAAATAATTGTGGGCAAGGTATGCCAAGTGGAGCCAATTCCCATCTAGAGAGCCTAATGGATCGAAGTAACAACAATACGACAATTTTTAGAATTTTTATTTTTGGCAATGCCCCTTGTAGAATGTTGTCTTTTTGAAAAGGAAGAGGTTTGGTGGCCAGTTTTAAGTAGGATCCATACACTGTATTCATATTTCAAAGACATTCGACGAAGCGATATGGTTCAGATTCATGCTTAACATATAAGTCATGATTGTTGTAATAACTACCGTATTTAGGCTAAAATGGAATGTGATAACTCTAAATATCTATTGTTTATTGCTTTCCATATATAAATTCAACTTATAGGGTACGATTTTATGACATTTGTATGGAAAAATAGTTAACCACAACCAGGTGAACATTGATGTTGCAACTTTGAACATAAAAATTCAAAAGAAGAAATGTAATTGTAATAATATATTTATTAATATCTATGGTTGAATAAACATACAAATACAACAATGTTTCCCAACTTGTTTTGATGAATTAGTTAATTATTCGTACGTAAGATCAGAACTGGTTGAGGGATGAAAATGTTTGTCCAAATCCCCAAGTGGATGGAACCACATTAGAAAATACAAGTGCTCTTCCATCAACCAGTGTGAGCTTAAAAGAGAGTCTCTGGTTTCGAAGGTCAACGCTGCTTTGCCAATTTGCCCCCCAATTCCTGTGCATGGCCAGCCACGTTCCTCTTCTCATCCTCGACCCCCTAATCCATGCAGCCTTCACGTCCCCGCTTCCGCCGACGTTGGAGATCATCACCATGTTGAAGCTCGACTGTCCCTTCAAGGTGAATCGGACTCCGCCTCTTCTTTTGCAGGACACTCTTTAGTCCATACACACATTAATTGCAAAGAGGATGACCAAGGTTCGTTATAATGTTTCAGACTACCGTCACACCAAAAATTACTTGAAAGTTACAATATGTATAACATAGGGATCAATTATTAATAGTCTAAAAATGTCATCATGCGTGAATTCATGTATATTTTCTCTCTTAAGCTTTGATAAAAGAGAAGTGCAACATAATAACATTTTTGGACTACCAATAGCAGATTTCATAATATATCAATTCAACACATCGATCAAATGTAAATTAAATTTGATTATAATTCAACAATTAAGACTGCACAAGTTTGAGTCTCCTTTTCCATAAATATTTAATTTTCTTTATTAGACCTCAAGTAGATGTTCGGGCCGGAAAGATGGTGCATGCATGTTGGGATTTATTATATTAGGACTTTTGAATGGGCACTGGCTATAAACTCGTGAATTGTTATGTTGTGTAATAATCTATTTTAGCCATATAATATTGTTGATACCTTCTGTAAATGACAGGAACTATGCCTTCATTGCCTTGTCGGGCAATGCGAAGAAAAGCAGGCATGGACATGTCGAAGTGTTGGTGAGGAAAATTGCACCACCCTCCGTTGTTGTTTGGGGGGCAGAAATTGGTGGCGGAAACCGTCACAGAACGACCTCGAAGGCACCACTTTGGATCTGTGTTGTAGTTACACATTACTTGGTAACACGCCCCACAGGCCTCACCTCCTCTGAAAAGTGTGCTACTCACGGCAGCTGTGTTCACTCCAAACCCCGAATGGATGGTACTTTCGTAACCACAAGCACCACCTACGTACACATGATGTAAATCAACAATATTGTTCTTAAGATTTCGTTTCTTTAAAACTTAGAACTATAGTATATGAGATTTGAATCAAAATCTCTTACAACGAAGTGAAGCAAGATTGCATGTCACTAGACCAGCAATCATTGAGAATGTTATTAATGTTCAATTTTATAATTAATTTTTTTTAGTGATGATCACCGCGTATTGCACAAACAAAAGGAAAACGGTGGCGCCCGTATCAACCAATTCGAGCATATGTCAAGTACGCAAAAGTTAATGCGAAAAAGTATAACACACGCTAAAATTTGCGCCTTTGTTATTAACAGTCCTAAAACATATTAGGTATATGAACGGATATAGAAGAAAAGATGTGAGGCAGAATGACATTTTTAGAAAACATAATTAGAAATTAATAAGAAAACATATTATTGGCACACTAGAAAAGTTATCTTGCACTCTTCATTTGTGAAAGCATGAAAGAGAACATTCATGGAGGAGTGCATGATCACTTTTTTAAAAGCGTCAACAAATAACTTTAAAAAAAATATTAAAGAAATAAGTAGTAAAGTTACACAAGTTAAAGAACATTATTTTCTCATCAAAATAGAAGTGAGTTACCAAGGGTGGCTGGGTCTTGGTTGGTCCCGTAGAAAGTTGCATGACCACTAAGCCATCCATTGGCTTCAACATTGGTGAGGATAATGCCCTCCAAAACTATACAAACGAACAAGAAAAGATGCCAGAAAAGAGGCACCATTATAATTTCTCTGTAAATTAAACCGCAGATCAATTTTTCTGTACTTGTTACCGGACAAACTCTCAAGTTCTTTCACTTTCTTGAAGAAGCAGGCTTCCATTTAGTATTTTATAGACTGATCAAAACAGGATCGTCGGTGAATAAATTAAAATAAAATGAAAATTAGCATTAATGCATGCATGGTATCGTGTATATATGTATTTACTTTATAAAATTAGTATTTGCAAAACGCGTTTTCCCACGTCCTATGATGTACGGAAAGACAGTGTACGGTAAGGGAATGACGTGTTTTGAGACATGATAGAGCAAATACATGTGATCACAACTAGTTGTGCGATCTTCTGTTTTTTCAGAGTAACATGTCGGTGAGTTGGTCGGTGATCAAATTCAGTGATACGAAACATGCATGAAGCTAGCAAATATGAGTTTACCATTATTAATTAATACAAACTCGAATATGGGCACGATCGATCTACTACTAAACCGAACAATATGAACATGTTTTGGTGGTGGCGACTTCAAATGAGTTGGGTTAATTAATATGTGTTAATATTTTGCTCATTGTTTTTCGTATTGATCTTTGTAATTACTGGAACTCTCATTTTAACTATGTGGCGGAGTCATAAATTCTTTCAACGAGGGTCGTGGATTCACTCGAGTGGAGCTGGATAGTACCGGGGACACTATCACCCTATTCCAGGGCCATAGACGGAGTCCAAGTAATTCTGTCTGATAATTATGCTTGTTCCGTAAGACACGTGAGCTGATCTTGATATGGACTAAATCAGATCCAATAAGTCTTGGAGTTCCTGGAATTGGCGTGCGCTGCACGTAATCACAAACTTCTAAGAGAGTGCAATATCTACTTCTAGATATCATCTAAGATTCTCTTAGCTCAGAACAAAGATTCTATCCTAAAAAAGCTCTCTCTCACACAATATAAATACACTCATTTTGGATTCATATCTGGTAACGCAATCTAAACACTTCAATTCTCTTGTCCACTGCTTGAGTCTAAAACTATTCACTAACTTGACCGTCAGAGAGCCTTTAGCTGACACCCCATCCCCCGATCTCAAGCTTGCTCATGGTTGTTTACTATTTTACAGATTGCTCGATGTTTGTGCACTACCACCACTCACGGTGGTGCGAATTTGGTTCCAACATGTGCCAAATTTCATTTAGCCCCAAATGAACCTCAATTTCCTAACCCATACTACAGATCCAAGCCTCAAGACTTTCTTTTGCCATCAATTTACCAGTTTTCAATTGAGAAGGCTGACCGAATTCCTGTGCCCATTGCCCACCCTAGAGCGAATCGCTGCTTATTCAGTTGAAGGTGCGCGAAAAGCATTTGAGTTCGGCCCGAAGTTTTGCCCTGCCTCCTTCTATGGTTCTGGATTCATGTCCTACTTTGCCGAAGTTGGAACTATGTTCTTGCTGATTTCTGGGCGGTGGATATAGTGAGGTTTGGTTGCTTCTTTTGGCTTGCAAGTTAGTTGGTGATAATTGTCAGTTTTGCTTTGGGTTTTATGATGCTATTGGTATGTGGTTTGCCATAGATTTTTTTTTGGGGCAATTGAAGGTTTGTATGTGGTACGATGTATGGATGGATAATTTTATGGTGTGGAATTGACAATGTAGGTTGTCGGCTACTTCTGATTTCGGGTAGCTGGGACAAGTCATCCCTCATCTAGGCTTCTAAATTTCTCTTTATTAGCCACTTTTGGGTCTCTACTGTTTGAGACCTTGTGGATAGTCTTTTTTTCTGGGTAAAACTCTTTTATGTTATTTCTTTTATGTACTCTTTGTAATTGCTGTAGAGAAGAATCATTACTCATGCTTTGTTTGTATAAGTGGCTCTTCTTTTTGTATTCCAACCATTCGAGGACTGCATATGTTGTATTTTGTCCTGTTTGGACTTTCTTTTATAAACGTTCTCTACCACTTGACAAAAAAAAAAAATAAAAATAATAGTACCAATACCATCGTTCGAGTCATTTTGAGGGAGGCAGATTCTCTGTCCTTTTACTTTCCGTACCCTCCTGTTTTATATGATCACGATTAAGTAATGTCAACATTTTATATATATATATATTTATAGAGATAATAAGACAAAAATGAATAGTAATATAAAATGTTGACGTGGCTTAACCATGACCACACAAACAAGAGGGCACGGGAAGTGGGAGGGCAGAGAATCTGCCTCCCATTTTGAGTAGTCTCATGGGTCATTTCGACGGAGATGGATTGTCTGCCCTCCTTTCTCCATACCCTCCTCATACCCTCCTGTTTTGTGCGGTTACGGTTAAGCCACGTCAACATTTGCTTTTTGTCTTATTATTTTTATATAAAAATTAATATAAAATGTTGATGTGGCTTAACCGTGACCGCACAAAACAGGAGGGCATGGGGAGAGTATGGAAAGAGGAGGGCAGACAATCCTTCTCCCATTTCGACCCACTTGTAAGTTGTAACACAACACCAATTTTGAACCTTAACCATACGATCAAGTTGGACAACTACAAAACCAGCCCGCACATAACTCCCTTATTGTCAACCACTTAGTATATAAGCTTAACTGGTTGATTACGCGCTTATTGAAGATATATTTAGTTTCTACGCCCGGTTTGATTTAGCAAGTTTGGTTAAAATTACTTTTTTAAAATGACTAAAAATGATTACAGATCACCAAAAGTGTTTTTAACCATCTTTTAAAGTGATTACATATTAAAAAAGAGCCACTGTAGTGCCTTATACAAGACACGCTATGTTCTTCTAATGAAACTGTATTTATTGAAAGCGCTTTCTAGCAAAAGTGCTTTTTATTAAAGTACTTCCAAAGAGCTCTTAGATGTTTTGGGCCTGGCCCCCTAGACGCACCCAAAAAACAAAAAGGCTATATCCTGCATAATACTAGCAAAATACAAAATCTCTACCAGCATATGGTGTATATATTCTGTATGATGGTAATTTCTTACAACTGTACAAGAGTGAAGCTATATAAAGAATATGCTCAGAACAAGAGAAGGCACAGCATAAAACAGCAGAAAAGAAAGATGGTTACTCTATTGAGAGATCTGTCCAGCTCTACTTCCTGCCTTCTCATCCTATGACTACTTTGGGTGTACGAATTCGGATACGGGTAAGTAAACAAATTAGTGTTTGAGCTCCCAAACATCCTTTCAAACACAAACTCTCCAACCATTCCAATCGTTGGATTGGATAAATTTGTCAACGCTGTACCCCCGAGATATGCTGGTTCTGAGTTTGTAGCATAACCACCATAAGCGGGGTAGTACTGATCGTGAACAGACTCTGAATGCCTTTGCAAAAAATTTGGATGAAGTTGCTGTCTTGGCACTGATGTGGCAGTTGTAGCAGTAATCGAAGTGTTCAACATCGGTGGGGGTCTATGTGGTACGACCAGATCCAACTGAGGTTTCTTTCCATCAGAATCTGTAGAGGATAAGCCCCGACCATAGAGGGGAACCACTGAAGAAGGGGTGATGTTAGCCTTACAGACAGGACAAGTCTGCTGCGGGTGGGATTGTTCATCAGAGGCGGTTGGGACCTGAAGCCACTTGTAAATGCACGGCCAGCAGTACAGGTGACCGCAGAGAGTCACCACAGGTTCATGTGCTGAATCTAAGCATATGTTGCATTCAAAGCTGCCAGTGTCGTTGTCCGAGACTGTAGTTGGGGATGAGATTGAATTCCACTTCTTGACTGAAACATCTCCAACGGAAACAAAGTGTGTCTCAGGCTCATACAAGTTCTGTTCCATAGCGATATGTTCTGTTACAAAAGGTTTTGTTTATTAGTAAGCATAAACTGCCATTACACACCAGTAAAACAAAACAATTCAAGTGCGTGCGAATGTTTGCGCATTTGACAGAAAGAAGTGAGATTCCGTTAATAAATACTACAAGCAAGGAAATTCGATAGTACAAAAAGAAACTGTCCCTAAATCTTACGACCTCGACTAAAAGCTTTTATAATCAATCTCAACAATGCCACTGACAACTTCCTCAACCCGATTTCTATCTAAATAGACACTAAGCATCTATAAAAACCACAAATGAATCAAACAAAGGAACCAATAGAAAATATGGTATAGTTAACTTTAAGGTAACAAAGACGAAGATACAGAAATATCAATTAGCACTGGCCCCGTATTTTTTAATTGGAGAACGAAAAGAACAAGGGTTTTAAACCCACTAATCATGTATAAGAAGAATATAAATGGCCTCTACCTATCTTAATCCTAAACAATTGGAAAGATGAGTATGACTAACATGCCAGCATCATGTTTTCCCCTCTTTTTTATCTCTCACCTCCAAAACAACTCTATGTTAAGACAACAATGTTTAATTTCGGTTTCTTGACGATTCAGTAAATAAATAAAATAACTCTCAAGAATAGATCTCAAGAACCCCAGAGGATTACAAGATTAAAGATTTCAGTAATCCAGGTTCCAAAACCTACAGATCTTGATTCAAGACTTCAAATCAAGCCAAAAGTATCCACACAAAAAAAATGTTTTGGAAGAAGAAACAATGTTGCAAGAGTGGACTATGAAATTATGAGGGATTTACGATCACAAAATTAATTAGAAATCGCATATGCCAAATCAAAGCGAAAAGAATAGCAAAAACTTTCTTTTTTCCACAAACGATACCGGGGAGGGGGGAATTGAAGTCGGGACCTTGGGTGCAAGGTGAAGGCTTCTAAGATTGCAAGCATAGGAAAACTCAAAAGCTTAGTCTCCAAAACAGAACAGGTTTATATTTATTCAGAGGGAATTCTAGAGGACAATTTAATTTCAAGAGAACAAATTAGAACCATGAGGATGCCTAATCATTTGTGAAGATGATCAATGGCCTTCATAAGAACTATAGTGTAAGATGCTCAATTTTTCGGATTCTGGGCAGCAAAATTAAGCCTAACAAAAAATTTACATATTCCTTCAAGGAAAATTCCCAGTTCTTTGTAATATTGATCAATCAACCCACTAACAGCTAATGTTTAGCAATTGAAACATGTTTTTATATAGGAAGTAAATCAGTTGAAACCGAAAAATCGCCAGTGGGAGAATTACAAACAAGGTTTTCCCTACATGAACAGAGACAATGGCAGAAATTGCCACCACCAATCACTTCCATTAATAAATTTCCTCTATGGAAAATCACATTCAAAGATATACACTTTAGGTTCCAGAAACAACTTCTCCCAAGCAAACAGAACTCAGAAGATGGGGAAAAAATAAAACAAAAACTCCTAATTATCCAGGACTACATGAAACGGTTATATTTTCAAGGGATTAGAAATCTCAGACATAATAAAATCACATTAAAACATGGCAATTGAAACCCCAACACAGAAAAAAGGAGGCGAAAAGGAACCAACCCATCATTGTTCTAAAAGTGAAAGCAAAATTAAAGAGAAACCCATCAAATAAAACCAACAAATTCAAGAACTTTCACAGACAAAGTCCAGAAACAAATAATATGAAAAAGAAAATTAAGAGAGAGGGAGAGGGAGAGATAATGCATACCGAGGAAGAGAAAAAGCTGGAAGGGATCGAGGTGGCTATCAAAAACAAGCTCCGAATCTTACAGGTTAAGAAAGAGAGAAGAGAAGAGAGAGAGAGAGAGGTGGTGGGTTTGATTGTTGGCGACAGAGAGAAGAGGTGGAATGGTTGAGAGCGAAAGGATGGAGGTGAAGGTTGTATAAATACAAAACAAGAAAGAGATCTTTGAGTATTGTATTTTGGTGTAAAGTTGTTTTCGGTCTCAAGTGTCATGCAAGATGTGAATATATATTTACAACGAGTTCAACCGCGTCGGGTCTTCAATGAATCAACGTATGAATGGAGTTATTATGGTGGTTCAATTCAACGCCATGACCCCATTTTTTACTTTACCCCTCTTTTATTTTCTTTGTTTGCTTGGACGAATTTTTGTATGTATTCGGAGTACAAGATGATATACACTTACGTGACATAAACATATTGTTATGGTAATGTTCTGTAGCGTTGAAATAAGAGAAATGTTAAGAGACTCTAAAAAAAGTGGGTCTCTTCATAAATTCTCTGTCACCTCATATTTTTTGCACAACATTTTATAATGTTGACATGTGAATTAACGTAAACAGTGAGGTCATAGAGAGTCTGTGGAGAGTCTCCTTAGCATTCACATGCCCTTGGTTTGTTGGCAAGGGACGCCATTTGCGATGTACGTGTGTCATATAAGTTGTTCTTTGCTTTCTCATTGTCCTTCCACTTTATTATTACACATGGTGTATCGCTTGTCTTCTAATAGAGGATAAATTTTTCAGTGTGCCATAAACACATTCTGGTACATTGAGTGTAATAATATAATTGGTTGAAACTTTTTTCAATTTTCAATCAACTGTATTATTACACTCGGTATACTGAGCCATATTTATTGCACCATGCAAAATATCTCCTAATACAGTAAAAAACCTGAGTTTGATTGAGGTTAGAGGATTAGGATCCTCTCCTGAGCTAAGGGTGAGGATCCTCATGAGCAAACCTATGGGGCCGTTGAAATTTTATCCAATGGTTACAAACAAGGAGCCCCTCTAAAAGTTATAATAATTGTAACCGTTGTATAAAATTTCAACGGTCTGATGGGCTTGCTCATGAGGATCCTCACCCTTAGCTCAGGAGAGGATCCTGATCCGAGATTAGAAATGAGTTTTCTTGCCACGTGTGAAGTGTGATTGATGCGGCAAGAAGGTAAATTAGAACGAGCTTAAAGTGTTTAAGCTTATAAGATCTAAAATTCTTTGTGTAAAAAGTAAACCACTTATTTTTTGGTAACCTTATAAAATCAGTTTCTTAGCTCTTTTTTTTTTTTTTTTTTGTCAATATATTAGCTCAGTTTTAATTGGTCTTGTCACAATCACTTTTTGTGTATTTGATTAAAGATCTTGAATATAGTCTATACAAATCTCTAAATTTATTTTTTAAGGATGAAAAATACTCCATCCACATTAACAAGACAATGTTTTATTTTTAAATTATTGTAATTTACGAGAAAAGAGTTTCACACTCAAATGTTTAGGAGGTCGCTTTTCTTGAACTGAATTATCTGTTATGAACTGGATCATTAAATTGGATTAGAACAAAATATGATCCACGTACCTCCTTACGTTCATAGCTACATCACATGCACCAATAAATTCACATTTAGGTCAAAAATCTGTGCAGCCTTGCTATTGGTGTTTGGCAACGGCCAGCAACAACAAAGGAACCTTCCTGGTTCCTAGCTATGAATTTAGAAGAATCAACTAGAAACTACGACTAAACCAGTGAAAACGAAACCTCATTTTCTTGACCAAAGAAAAATATTTGGCAGGTAAGTAAGCAAAAGCTGATTAGGGTTTTCATTGGTTATAACTAAGCAAGGGAAAAATTGAAGTTGATGAAGATTCAGGGAGTCGATGGAGATTTTACTTTTGGACATTGACCATCCAGAAGAATGCGACTTGCTAAGTAATTATATTTTAATGATAAAAATAGGGTTGGATGTTGGAGGTTATGCTGACTAGACCGTTACCTGCAACCGTCTTTATCTTTAATTAGTCATTTTAACAAATAAATAAATAAATTAACTCTAATTAGTCTTAGGTAGTTTCTATACATGCCAGGTGGAATTAGCTGCTGATTAATTATCAGCGGCCTGATTATTTTGAGACTCAAGAAATGAGTAGTTGCCCTACCAGTAGCAGACCAGTGTGTTTTGAATTGATAAGTTGACAGGTTGGACTGCACATCTTAAATAAAAAATAACATGAAATAAGCACGTTAATTAATACTTAAGTAATAATCTAATTATAAAAAACCACGTCATATGGTCTGTTTGTACCATACTTGACCAATCCCGAAACTACCGAGCACCGGCCAACGCTATACTGTCAAGGACCCAGAAGAGTTCCCCTCCGACCAGGAGGCCAATCACTACTCGACACGTGTCAAGATTAGAAGCCAATCAGAGCGCAACACGTGTCAACATCAAGAACCAATCATAACATGACACATGTCAATGTGACAAAGCTACAACTCTTTTCTATAAATAGAGATCATTCCCCCACAATATTTCCTAAATGTCATTTGTGTACTAAATCATTCACAAGTACTCACTAAATTGAGAGCTTGAATCCTATGTACTTGTGTAAAGCCCTTCACAATTAATGAGAACTCCTCTACTCCGTGGACGTAGCCAATCTGGGTGAACCACGTACATCTTGTGTTTGCTTCCTCTGTCTCTATCCATTTACATACTTATCCACACTAGTGACTGAAGCAACCAAGCAATCAAGCGAAGGTCACAAAACCTTGAGACTTTCTGTTGTACCAAAGTCCTTCGCTGATTTTGTGCATCAACATTTGGCGCCGTCTGTGGGAAACGACACTTATTCCACTCTCTTCAGCTTTGTCAAGCTGGTTTCCTACCATTCGTACACTTTCTTTTGACCAGGCATCCCTCTCCAACATGGGAAGCGAAGGAAGCCACAGCACACAGAATGACACCCCCCTTGCACCATAGTGCGAAAGCAACGAAAGAAGGAAGGAAAACGAGTTGCTTCTTCAAGCTAAAGTCGATGAGTTAGAAGCTCAGAACAACAAGATAGCAATGAAGGAATGAGGTCCTCCAGGAGCAATATGAGAAGCTCTTCGAGACACTCCACGAAAGCTAGGCAAGCTCAAGACACGCGAGCTTGTTGCCCCCGTGGAAGTCAACCATCAACTGGGTGCCCTCCAACATGGAGGGTCACATGCATTCGACATGGGATATCCCTGATGAGGGAACAGATTACCCCTCGAAACTTGATAATCAACATGAGGCTTCTCTCAACCCAGTTGCTTCGACCCGAACCATGAGAAGTGGAGGGAGACACCTCTTTGCTGAAGGGGCAGAAGGATCGAAAGCCGTCTTTCGCGATTGTCGGGATTTCCTAAAGCAACGTCGAGAGAATTCCATCCAATATAAGCTCAAAGATCAATGACCCAAGGATTTCTGAAGAGACTCGGTCCCCTGCCACGGCCCGAGCCGGCCACCAATTTGGGGAAGGGGCAACAAGTCCTAGAGAGACATGAAGGGTACAGGGGACTCAGAGGTGTTCCGACAGACATACCCTGGAAGCCAGTACAGCGAGTCCAGGGAAAAATCACATGCCCTTGATCAAACCTTCCTAATTCCAAGAGGAGATGGAGATTTACGAAGGAAAGCTCCAGTGGCACATAACTCCGCTCAGGACCCCCTTGTCCTACAACTTCTTGAGGAAGTAAACAAGTTGAAGGCTGAACGTCAGGCTGAAATACCTGACTGGAACCAACCCAGGCCTGGCCCTCTTACAAGGAGGATCCTCAACACCCCCCTTCAAGCAAAGACAAAGCAAAAGCTTGGCTTGCAACTTTATACTGGAAAAGAGGACCCGATTGAGCACCTTAACCTCTTTGAGTCCACCATGGCATACCGGATGCACACCGACGAAGAGCGATGTCTTCTCTTCCCCTCTACCCTCTTTAGTGGAGCTCTAAATTGGTATTGTCGTCTTACACCTGAGACGGTAGACTCATTTGAGGAATTGAGGAAACTATTTGTTTCCCAACACATTTTCCAAACCGATCGCTTGCACTCTGCAGATGACTTGTACACTATCCGCCAGAAGCCAGACGAGTCATTACGTATGTATGTTGGCCGCTTCAGCCATGAATACTCCCGGTGTGCCGAGGCAGACGACAAGACTGCCCTCAAAGCCTTCACGGCAGGCCTACGTGATTGTTTCTTTAAATACATGATCAATGCCAATACTTGGAAGACTTACTCTGAGGTGATGGCGCAGGCTTATAACCATGCCTCCGCCGAGGCAAAGACATATCAGGAGAAACCCCCTACAACCATCCTTTATCAACAAGTGGGAGGTGGAAGCCAGACTCACCTAAATGAGAAGACCTCGACTTTCCAAACAGCAGTGGCACCTCCCCATGCCTTGCATAATGCTTCACCGAATCAACAGACATATCAATTTCAAGGCAAGAGGAAGGATTTCCATCCTCACCACTCTCATTTCAGTAAAAAAGAGTAAGGGACACTATCCCGATAACCAAGGGTATCGCCACAATAGCGCTCGTCCCCAGGCAGTCAATGCAGTGGGTCAAACCCGCGTCAAGGGTATCACCACAATAGCGAGGTTTTAGCCTGCCATACTTAAGGTGTCTTACGCCTGCCGAGGCGGAAATCGTCCTTCGGGAAATACATGAGGGAGTCTGTGGAGATCATGCTGGATCTCGGTCCCTAGCACACAAGACTTTTCGCCAAGGATATTACTGGCCAATACTCCACCAGGATGCCATCAAAGTATCCCGCTCATGTGACAAATGTCAACGATATGCAACTATTCCTCATTCCAGAGCCTCTTACTCCAGAGCCTCTTACTCCTATGATCAGCCCTTGGCCCTTCGCCCAGTGGGGACTTGATTTGATCAGCCCAATGCCGGCAGGGAAGGGCAAAGTCTGTTACGCAGTCGTTGCAGTGGACTACTTCACAAAGTGGGCCGAAGTAGAACCCTTGGCAACCATTACTGAGGCAAAGATAGAAGACTTCGTGTGGAAGAACATCCTTTGTAGATTCGGCATTCCCAATGCGATAGTCACTGACAATGGGCGACAGTTTGACAACAAGAAGTTCAGGTTGTTCTGCTCTAAGTTCAACATCAACTTATGCTTTGCCTCTCCAGCTCATCCCCAGTCTAATGACAAGTT